TTGAATATAATAAGTTGAAGTATAGGGTGAATGATGTGGCATGATATATTATATTAAATTATATCTTCATTTTAATAGGAATTCCATGAAATTTTTGCATGTAATTTGGGGAATCTTTTGATTGATAATTATGTATAGTGAATTATATAACACAAATTCTTATTATTAGTCGTGGTGTTGCTGATAGAATATGGGAATTGAAGGCATGCATGTGAATGGGCAAAAAAAAAATAATAATAAAAGAGAGAAAGAAATGTACAAATGTGAAGGTATGACTCCACAATTCTTTTTAAAATAAAAATCATTTTAAAGCAAAAACAATTGGATTTAGCACCCAAAATTTACAGTGTTGATGACATGACATTAATGTCATTGGTTAAGGCCCAAAAATGAAGAAGGGTGTTATTGAGAAAACAATGATCAATGATATGTTAATTCAAGTGAATGTCATTGGTTAAGACCCAAAAATGAAGGAGTAGAAGGGTGTTATTGACAAAACAAAAATTAATAACATGTTGATTCATGTGAAATGAAAACAGTTATCTTAAAATAAAATTTTGAGTTCAAGTCTTACAAATAAAAATATAAGCATCGAGAGACTTTCCATCTTATAAAGTCTAATACGATTTAATTCTAAATTAGTTGAGATTTTATATAATTTTTAAATATTAAGAAGTTAATAAAAAAGAGTACAATGATGATGATGAACAGTAAATTTGTGTGAGAACAATAATGAATGATTTATCAAAGTACAAGGACTTTCATTCGCTTTAAACCCAAAAAAACAATAATTATAATAATAATTGTAAACAGATTTTAGGAGGAATCATTTTCCTCCTCGTCAGTCGTTGTCCATTATCTTCCTTCGCCGGCCACTACGATCAATTTGACCACCACAAAAAGGAAACTAGAAATTTAGGTCGGCGATGGTGAAGGAGACGGAATACTACGATGTATTAGGCGTCAGCCCTAATGCCACAGAGGCCGAAATCAAGAAAGCCTATTATATCAAGGTATTTAAGTATCATCTTCTTTCGAATTTCAATCAATCTGTAGATCTGTTGAGATTGAATCTTGTTTGCCTTTTGATCGTAGAATCAGTCTGGAGATAGGTTAAACTAGGTTTGTTTTTGGGTACTCTTGTTTCAAGTATTATACTAATTGCTTTTTCTAGGATTGTCTCTGTAGCATGCGGATTCTCAAATTTTCGAACTTAGATTGTTTTTAAATCTGTTACTTTGATGCTTCTGTTTTTAGTTGTGTTTGGACCAAATAATTTCACTTTTCACTTGTACTCTCTACATTGAGAATTGTTACTCACGGTTCTATATGGCTTGCAGGCACGACAGGTTCACCCTGATAAAAACCCAAATGATCCTCTGGCAGCCCAAAATTTTCAGGCAAATCTTACATTTTGCATCTTCATTTCGAAAATGAACTGTTTAAACTACAAAATTAGACCCCTTTTTTTTTCTTCTATTAAAGCAGAATTGTTTGTCTTTGGGACAAGATTTGGTGTCCAATGTTGGTTGCTAGTATTGCAATTGGTATTATCTCTTAGTTACACAATAAGAACCATGTTGCATGGAAGAAAATTCATATTGCTTGTGCAAAATTGGTGCAAAAGTGTCGAAAACATGAGTTTTGCTGTTTAATGTTGGCAAAGTTCATGTCCATGTCTCCCAAGAGCAGGACTAAGTATTGTTCATAACTTCATATTGATTCAGGTACTAGGAGAGGCGTACCAAGTGTTAAGTGATACAACACAACGACAAGCATATGATGCTTATGGAAAATCTGGAATTTCAACGTTAGTTGTTATATGTGGTTTGATGAATGTCTCATGCATTATACATTTGCAGATCTGAGAAAAAATTATTAATAAAAGGTATTGCCAATATCTAATATTGTTCCACTGCTTTTTATTTGAATGATCTTTTTCTTGCAGTGAAGCAATTATCGATCCTGCAGCAATTTTTGCAATGCTTTTTGGTAGTGAGCTTTTTGAGGATTACATTGGACAGCTTGCTATGGCATCAATGGCTTCCCTAGACATTTTCGCTGAAGGGGAACAAGTTGATGCTAAAAAGTTACAGGAACAAATGAGGGTAGGACTTTTGGAGCATCTTCCCTCCTCTTAAATAAGATTGTATGTGTCTTTTTTAGTCTGCTCGCTATCTGGCCTTATTTACCTCTGTAGAACTTGATGGTGACACACAAAAATGTGACAAAAACACTAGACAGAGAGTCTTTGTTCCACAAAGTGAATAAGAAATTAGTTTTTTAAATTAAGGAAGGGTTAAGACATTGTAATCTTTTAAATTCTCACTTCTGTGCTGACTTCAGTCTTTAATGAATTGTATATGTATATTTCATGTTATCCATCTCTTAAAGCAATGCTTTCGTTATTTCTTTTTTAAATTTGCATCACCCTATCCAAGCAACTCAAAAATATTATTTTATTCATGTCTCTCATGCTTCTGAATGTTTGTGGCCATTAAGTCAATGTTACTATGGTTGCTACATCACATTTTCTGATTATACGTGATTAAAGTCTTTTTATCTTCTTGAAAGTGATTTCCCATTATCTGTGTGTTTCGACCTGCCAAACATTATCTTTGTCCAAATTACTATACTGCAGGGTGTTCAGAAGGAAAGAGAAGAAAGGCTAGCAGAAACACTGAAAGGTCGGCTGAATCAATATGTTCAAGGAAACAAAGAAGATTTTACTAATCAAGCGGAAGCTGAAGTATCAAGGCTATCTAATGCGGGTATTTTATCTTCATATGTGTGCATATTGATTTTTTAAAGTTGGGAGGGAAAGGCAGCGAAACCATTTGAGAAGAAAAACAATAATTCTCAACCGCTTTGATGTGTAACTCTACGAGTTAATGTCTTTTTGAGTTATTAGCAATAATGTGATTGACCTCCTGATATATTGCATAAAATGCAAATTTGGAGACCCATTAATGCTAAGTTGAAATAAGGTAACGTTGAACTGCAATATGCTCTTAAGTTTCATACTCCATTGATGCATAGCTGCTCAGGGGTTATTTATCAATTCCCTTTGGAGGATGCTCTACAGTTGGTCATGACGAGAAGAAAGCTTTTGTCACAAAATATCCAAATAATCAGCACATTCAATATCCTATCTAAGTGTTTGAATGATCCAGTCAGGCATCCACCATCTGTTGTATGTGATGAGGAAATTTCCTATCTAATGGGATCTTGGATGTGAATGAAGTGTTTGGTGTTCATGCTTTTTTGTTATGCTGGAAACAAAAAATTTAGAATATTTGATGATTCAATCTTTTCAAAATTTTCTTGTCAATCCACTGAGCAGAATTGTGTGAGAAATGCGTAGATTTATTGACTGCAATTTGGTGTCAACATGATGCTCAGTATCATTTGGTTAGTTGATGGAACCCTAAATTGATCTACAATGTAGAAGGATCAAGCATTATGCTTCCAATTTTGATCTCGGACAGACATTATGTGGTTTATCAATCTTATTGCCTTATTTCCTCTTTAATTTGTTGGTCTTTTAAATGATTGATAGTTATCTCCTAACAAATTTCTTCATATGTTTCATACAGCTTATGGTGTTGATATGCTGAATACAATTGGTTACATATATGTAAGACAGGCAGCAAAAGAGCTTGGGAAGAAAGCGATGTATCTAGGTGTCCCATTCATTGCTGAGTGGTTTAGGAACAAGGGCCACTTTATCAAATCTCAAGTAACAGCAGCAACAGGTCAGTTCATGCTGGTTACTTTTAATGATGTCTATCGTTGTCTTGTCTTCCTTAAATATTTGTTAAATGTTTATTTTCTAATGTGGTGAACATTTCTCTAACTTTCACCTTGTCCCATTGGTGCTTTTAGGTGCAATTGCTTTGATCCAACTGCAGGAAGACATGAAGAAGCAGCTAAGTGCCGAAGGAAACTATACCGAGCAAGAGCTTGAAGAGTACCTGCAATCCCACAAGAAGTTGATGATTGATTCCTTATGGAAGCTTAATGTAGCTGATATTGAAGCCACCCTTTCTCGCGTTTGTCAAATGGTTGTTTTACTTCTCAAATATTTTACATGTGGATGTTGAATGACATTGGAATGTTTTAGTTATAATCTATCAATATTCATTCTAGGTTCTTCAAGATAACAACGCAAAGAAAGAAGAACTTCGTTCACGAGCAAAGGGGCTAAAAACCCTTGGAAAAATCTTCCAGGTCTATTTTCTTCTCTTCTTGCACTCTGTCACATTTTTGTGCTCTTTTCTCCTTTTCTTTTAATTTTTCTTTTCGGAAATTCTGTGATATGTATATAGAGGGCCAAGTCAGCCAATGGTAGTGACAGTGAACCTGCAGTGAGCAGTGTTGTGAATAAACAACTAAATGGAAGTGATACAACCCTTGATGGTGGTTCTCCTAGCGCATCATCAACATCTTCAATCTGGGTAGAGCCATCTCCTTCTACATTTGGATCGCAGGTATCATTTATTCCCTGATTGATGAGCCTATTATTGTATTGATCATGGATGGTTAACCAGATTCATTGATGTCAATTTAACTGTCTGGCAATATATGGAATGGAAAGTTGCATCTGTAAGTTTAGGATAACTTATGTTGTCCCTGGTTAAAGGATTTGTATTTGATCTGATGGTTTAAACATTGGGACTTGACGCTTTTGGGCTTCATTACAAAGTTCCTGTTGCATTGACCAGGTCAAAGGTAGAGGGGAAGATAGTAAAGTAGATGAGACAATGATCAATTACTTACAATGGAAAGTGGAGTAGGGATTAGACGAATGATAAAAACTTTCCTAGTAAAGTTGACCTTTAACCAAATAGGCCCTAAAGTTAAGTAGGGATTAGACGAATAAATAATAAAAAGGGGAATGCTCTAATCTCTTAACCTCTAATTTCTTATCTAAAATAAAATAAAAGCCCCTAATTTAAGGGTATTTGAAATAATATGGATTTTTTTATTCTGGAATAGTCCATCAACATCATATATGTGATGCATGACGGTTTGCAGGTATGATGGTTCTAAGGATTACGGGTTTTTTGGCCCAAGATTAAGGAGTTGATTTTGGGCTAAATTTGGGTAGAGAAAGAGGAGAAAAATAGATATCCCTAGGAATCACATCAAGTTTTTCTTATGCATCACACTTATGGTTGATTGGATTTCACAATTACAATCACAAAAGCATAATTTGCTGGAAATAGTTCACAAACCTATCATATACTTGCTATTGAAAATCATTAAAAGCATTTATATGATATTCCTAAGCCTCCTACAAATCAATAAGAAACAAAAGAATTCCTATTCTAACTAGACTCAAACTTGGACTAAGAATTCCTAATCCAACTCTTAATATGAGATATGACCTTTAAATAAAATATCTAATCCTAATAGGAATAGTAAAACTAATAATAAAATAATACTTAAATAATCATAATTAATTTATAAGCTTGAATACTGTGAATAACTCTTCCATAGGTTCTTGTTCCACATCACAATGCTTTTGTTGAAATTGGGATGTAGAGAAGTTGAATGTGAAGGTGTAAGAGAACCAGGGATGCATATTATTTCTCTCTATAGATGTCACTTGTAATTGTTATTATCTTCCATAAATAACTCTGACATTATTGGGCATCCTAGAGTCCCTATGTGGAGGCCCCCCCCTTTGCAGATACTCCATTTAGCTACAACTTCCCAAGGCCAACAGCACCACCTGGTGCACAAAGACACTCTTGAGGTGGAAAAGATTTAAGTCGTTTGCTCCCAGCCATAATATGTTATATACTTAGGTGGCAGTAAGTGAAGGAACTTCGTTTTCTGTTTGCTGAAAGTCTTCATACGAGCACTCTGGAGAGCCCATTCTACCTCCAAACGGGTAGGCACAGCATAGTGTATCTTTGATACACAATTACCTACAAGATGCATGTTGAAGGTCGTTGTAGGACATAATTATTTTCATTGTTTCAAGCTTCTTATGATTGCTCGCCCTGTTACTTGAATGCCACAATTGCTGGAGTTCTGCTTTATTGTGTGTTTTGGTTTCAGAATGTACATTTAGGTCCAAGTTTTTGCCTAGCATGTTCTTTTATTGGAGATCTATTGTCATATCTATTTAAGGAAACAAAAAAACGACTGTAATATATTTTGTTGATGAAGCTCTGGTAATGTAAGTTGCATAAATCCATCTTATTCAAGGCATGTCTGACAAATCATATAATCTTGTGATGGACGTCATGTTACCTTCTTTTCATATTTGTCTTATAATCATTTATGTAATGTTAATTGATAAAATCAATGTATGTATGCACTCGTTTTTTAATGCAAAAAAATTAGGTTTGTCATTATGATTTCAACTACAAGTTCCAACCTCTTGTATCCTCTTTGGTGCCTATTGATTCATTAGGAATTTCATTTTTCGTGAGCTGGATTTTTCCATAATAGAGAAACTCATTGGAGAACTCACACTCATTTCTCTACTCTTATATTTTCAAATCAAACTTAAAATCACTAGCATTATATTGGTTAAATCCTTTTATTGGTAGATAACTATAAAGATAAAAAATAGAATTTTGCTTAGATAGTAATAAGAGAAAAAAGGAAAAATCAAGACATTCTAGCATTAAAAATATCATAATATCTAATTACAATTATTAAATATGTAGGGTATGGTATGGATTCTAACGTTATCAAATTCATCATGTTGTAATTATTAGTTATCATAATATTTTTAATATTAAGACATCTTAATTTTTCATTTTCTCTAGTAATAATGTAAATATTTCTTGCGCAAGGCAGCATAAACTAAAAAAATAATCTAA